TATAATTTTTATTTCCATTGCTTGATGTTAGTAATATAAGGTGATTTATATACAGTGCCATATTAAATTGATAGCTCTTGCTGGGTGAACATACAAGTACAATCTTTCCTTTCTTTAAATGTGCTGAATTTTGTATTAGGGAAGCCTGGCAAGTCTTTTCTCCCAGTCAGAGGTCTGAAGAAAGCGAGTAAGCGTAGATAAAACCAGCTTGTTTAATCACTGAAACGCAGGAAAAATTAAAATACATTTTTTGCTTGTAAAGTAGAGAAAGGCAATAAAAACAATGCCAGACGGTTAATGCCTCTCTTGTACCTTTCATTTCAAAGACCTCAAGAGAACATCAAGAAGAATAAAGGCAAAATCTATTCCCTATTGGCATCATTATAAATGTTGTATCCTCTAAAACTCTAAAGACATCCAAGAAGAGTAGAAGAATAAATGGCATTGAAATAAAGAAAGTCTCTCTGGAGCTTTGTTCAATCGGCTTTGTTAGAATTCACTCAAATAGGATGATTATAAGAAAAGATCTCATTTGTTTCAACATTAAAGGAGCAAATTAATATGTGGCAAGCTGCTAATAATTGCCTCATTATGTAGTGAATGGGCACTGCGTCCAATTTACAAAATTACAATCATATTGTTAAAGTAACAATTGGGAAAGTTTAGTCTGAGTTTCCTAACTCTCTGTCTGATTAGTTGTGGGATTCAGAATGAAACCGAGTTGGTGGTTGGAGGGAGCTCTCCAGTGCACCACTGGCCTATGGTGCTGAGAAGTCACAGGAGAAATTAAGCTTTTCATTAGTGGAAGTTCCATCTGCATAGGTCCTGAGCTGGATTTGGTCCAGCTGGAGAGTAAATCTGACAGTCTCTGCCGAGACTGGAGCTTGGCGTGCGTCTGCTCTGTCAAGACGTTGTTTTATTGAACTCCACTGACTTGGGCTGAAGTCCTGGCCAAGTGGTTGAGAGACCTGGCCTGAGGGACTTCAGCAGACCTGCAGGTCTGTGGTTGAGAAACTTGGTGATGCAGGATCTGTGCCATGGGGAAACCCACCCGTACAAATGGTCCTGGAGCTGGAATTTCAGTCTCTCGGTGGAGGCATTTGAAATGGTGGGGGAATTGTTTCAAATTGGGCATGTAAGCAGTTTTCCAAATATTGAGATCCCACGTGGAAGAGAATCATGTTTTGTGACCTACTTAAGTTAGATTTGCTTGTGACCTTTTCTAATTCTGGCTGATTTTGTTATTTAATGATTTGACCTTTGATTCTGTGAAGCCACTTCATTGCTAAATGCAAAGATTTAATAACTAGAACTGTTTGATAAGTGACCTTTATTACACAGCTATTTCTCTTTGCTAGAAAAATGGCACTGTTTTGCAAGTTCTAATTCACAGTTTTAATTATCTTTTCTATTGTCTGAAAGCTTGCACAGGAAATGGAAAGGTCAGACATTTCATTTTCTTTACTGATTAAAATATAAGCGTTCCCCAACAGTTACAATGTATCATTCAGGAAAAAGATGGGACAATTTGTCAGAATCATGCCCATCTGCTCTACTGAGGACTTCTACATCCTCCTGGTCAGCAACAAAACGAGTAATTTTCTAGCAGCAATAATAGCCCCGTGGTGTGTAGAGGTGAAATACATGTCTAAGTACATGAAAAGAAAACAAAAGGTGAACGGTTCCCTATGATTTTTTTTTTCTTTAAGTCACATGTCTGTGATGCAAGGGAATAAAGATCTTGTGAAAGTTGAGCCCTGAATTGACGTTCTCGGCCCAGAGACCATAAACAGAACAGCACAGGTTTCCGTAGGGTCCTGCCAATCTGTATCAATCCCACTGCTGCCAGACCATCTCTGCAGATGAGAGGGCAGCCTGGACTGCCTGCCAGACCCATTTTTGGTTTATCTGACAAGGCTGCTGCTGAGTTAGTGTTTAATTGCTACCCTGGTGTTTGTGATGCAGACACCTCTAAACGGTTGCTGTTAATTGCAAAACAGATCACCAAGAAGGCACATTTTCTCTATTTTTCCAGTTTCTTTCTCTCTGCATTCTGTGTAAGAATTGTCTCTCTGCTTCTGTTCATCATTAATACAAATAACACAGCAAGTTAAATGGCAGAGTGGTAGTTTTTCATGCAGGTTATGGCTATCATGGGCAACCTGGCTGCTGAAAATCTACATATGGGAAAATGGTGTGAGATATGTAGGACCCTGGAGTATGAGGTGAGGGGGAACAATAGCACATCACTTCAGCTCCTCCAGGATCACAGGGATCTGTCAACTGTGTCCTAGTTCAGTACCAGAAGCAGCACCAGCATCTGCCCAGGGACTTCACCTATCCAGCCCCTCGGGCACCAAAATCCCTGTGCCTGAATGGCCCCTGGGGGAGCCACCTGACAGATCAGCTACATTGGAGAAGCTTTTGAGTCTTAAGAGTGATGAGACAGCCATAAATGAGCTGGGTTGTAGTAACAAACAGGAATGTTGTGTTAAATGAGGAAAATGAGAAAGTTATTGCATGTGGATTTATGTGGATTACTGAGACTGCCCCTTTTGTCTGTGAGGCTCAAACCAGCACCACCAGCTGCTGGCCTGTGTCCACATGGAGTTCAATGAAAGAATATTGACGTGTGTTTTCTCATATGTTGAGGGAGATGATGCAAAAAAATGGTAAGGTCAGTGGATGATTCTGGAGTCAGTGGAATATCTGTCACGGGTGTCAGTCAGTCTCCCAGCTCTCTCTGGGATCTGTTGGGAAATATGCATACTGGGACGTGTAAAATCTCTCTACATTGTAAAAAATGTTTATTCTGAGATAGGGCTGGGAGGGGGCAAGCCTCTGCCTCTGTTGAAGAAGAGCAGATTGTATGTTGACCTAGTGCAGGCATTCAGTATTATGAAAGCACTTTATAAATTGGAACAAGATAAATGAATCACAACAAAAGAACTAGAAAACCAGGGGACACAATTGCAGGAGTGAGTGTACTCAGTTTATTCGAGCAGAACAGTTACACTCAGTGAATAGAAGATGTGCAATGCATTTCTAACTAAGGTCAGAAAATCAAATAATTTCAAATTTAAGCTCCATTTTAACAGAGAAGGAAGAATTTTTTTGGGAAAAAAAAAGCAAACCAGCACTGAGGTTGAGACAAATTTGAATGGAACCGGATTCTTGACCAAATTGGCTCTTCCTATCCAGCAGTTTCATATTCAGCATTTGTTAGTTTGAAAGTTCACCCTGAAAACTATAAATTAATCTACTGGGACTTTAACAATTCACTTCATGTTAGGATGTGAGTTATGCTCATGGATTTGTTTAGGTCACCCAGCCATGTCCTCATAATGTATCTTAGAGAGAATGTCTGTAACTGTAAACAGAAAGACTCTTGTGTTCAGCTGCATCTCCTGGGATTTCATCCCTGCTGTCAGAGAACTATGCAAGGCAGCACTCTAAAAGTACAACAGCTATAAAAAAACACATGGTGTTCTGTAAAGGAAACATGGCCAATGCTTTTGCATGGAATCAGGAATCTTTAGCTATTGATGAAACGAGGAGAGAATGTTTTCATGAACCATTCACATGGAGAAATCCAATCAATCACAATAAGGAAATCAAAGCTTTGAAATGGTGAGATTTATTGCAGAAGTCTTGCAGGATGCATCTTAGTTCAGTACAATATTTGTCACCCAAAGAGGAGATATTTTAGCTGTTACAGTTTGAGTCGCTTCAGGTGTTTATCTCTTGTCCTTATACTACGCCCCCTTATCAAAGAATTTGATGTTTTGTCAGCAACCACGTCCTGAGGTTATAGCGGTCAAATGTAGCCAGGATATTCACCCACATCAGCTAAATGAGGTGTGATTGTGAAGAGAAATAACCACGAGTCTGATCAGAAAAACACCCAGGATTCTGTCAGACTAAATGTTCAAAGAACGTGAAGGGAATTATTCCTAAAAAAGATTAAACTGAAGTCACTGGCTCCCAGCTGTGAGTATGACAGAGGATCAAGTCTGTGACCGTGCAAAAAATTGTGGGTGATCTCTGGCCCGAACAATCTTCTGTAGGTTTTTTTGATGGATTTAGTTTTCATTTGATGTAGATTTCTAACTGAACTTCTCATACAATCCAATTTAAATACAGGGCATTTCCTTTTAGTCTGTTGGTACAAAAGAACCAAAAAAACCATTTTACTCTTTATACTTTGACAAATGGAACATCAGATAAGTCCCTATATCTCTGTTAGATAATTTTTTTCCTATTTTCAATTCATTCTGGAGAAATGGCACCCTGGAATATGGTCAGGAAATACTGTCTTTTACTTCAGTTTTCCCAGGATCAATTTCCTAGTTCACGTGTCACCAGTCCATCTGCCTCTCATTTTTCATGGGTCATAACCACGCTCTGGAGAGAGCAGCATACTTCTCTGTCTACGTGTCCTTTCCAACTGCAGGATTTCCATGCTACTAGATAACTTTTTAGATACACACCTAAATCTTTTGACTTCTGTCACAAATTTTGGAACTATTCATTCAGACACAGAAGCACAGTCAGTGTATAGTTAAATTTACAGCATTGCTTTTTCAGTCGTATTTTCCCTATTGTTGACAACACCTTGTTAAAAGACATTGATCTAAGTATTGTTTTCTGCTGCTTCTTCATTTCCTTTGGTTTTCGTTTAGTGGAAAGAGTAACATTTAGAGGAAAAAAGGAATGATTATTTGTATAGTATGACATACAAAGTATAGTTGACTTTTCAAGGTGGAGAGCAAAGACTGGATCTGCCTATTTCACTAAAAAGGTTTGCATTCCAAGCTTTGTAGTGGTAGAGTTTTCTAGCAGCTCTACCACATGGGGATTGTGGGTTTGGATTTTTTTTCAAAGAGAAGCATTGCTGTCAATCTGTTTACATTGTACCTGCCTTTCTATTCCCTGATTTTTCAGTCCTCACGTTTTACAGAGAAGGACTTGCCACATATTTTTTGTTTCCTGTCTTGCAGCCTCTACAGCTTGACTGTGACCTCTGTGCCGTTGTTTCCAACTCGGGGCAGATGGCTGGCCAGAAGGTGGGGACCGAGATAGACAAGTCCTCCTGCATATGGAGGATGAACAACGCTCCCACGAAGGGCTACGAGGAAGATGTGGGGAAAAGGACGACCGTGAGGGTGGTCTCTCACACCAGCGTGCCTCTGCTGCTCAAGAATCCCGAGTACTTCTTCAAAGAAACCAACAGCACCATCTACGTGATCTGGGGGCCTTTCCGAAACATGAGGAAGGACGGGAATGGCATTGTGTACAACATGCTGAAGAAAGCCGTCGACAGCTACCCCAGTGCCAAAATCTACGTGACAACGGAAAAGCGCATGAGTTACTGCGACGCGGTGTTTAAGAGGGAGACGGGAAAAGACCGGTAAGTCCTGAATGTGAGGAACGATCACAGTGTTTGACAGAAGGTACATGGGATAAGGCCGTGCCGGATGCCGGCTACTGAGTGAGTCCCCAGATACATTTTTAATGGATTGTTATATGGTTTTGACTGTTATAAGCGCTTGATGAGGCAGCAGCTAGGCCCCATTTACCCCACCTACGCTACCTTCTGTTCATTCCATTTCTGTTGGCTTGAGTCCCAAGAATATTGGATATCTTCCTGAAACGTTTTCAAAGCTGTGTGTTGTTTTCAGCTCAATTTACTATTGATTAAGTTGACATTTTATTTGAAGAGGATAATCCTACACAAACAACATTTCCAAATACACAACCTTGGGATAATTCTGGATATTGCATTTTCTTCTCAGCTGAGATTCGCTGTAGCTTTTCTTCAAACACTGACCTCAGGGTTATACACTGTTTCTCTTTCTTGGTGAAAATGGATTATCAGTGATACCTTAATAGATTTAGGTTTTTACCAGAATTATACTGGAATTCTGTTTTCTATATCCGAGAATTTGTGTTTATGCTGCTCAAGTGGAGGCTGTGAGAGATGAAAGTGTGAGGGCCACTGTACTGGCTGGCATGGTCAAGGCAGAAATTGGATTTGTGGAATTAAGACCACAAAGGGCAGGAATTTGCAACTGAGCTACAAAAATTCAGATCATCTGTGTTTTGGCATGGAAGAACACCTGTCACACATACTCACTGGAGTTAACTAGGCAGGAGTTTCCAGATCGCTGCTGTGTCTTAATATTAATTTTTGAATTTGCACATCAGGAATTTGAGGTTGTGAAGGACTATAGCTGTTCTGACCAAATTAAAAATATAGATATTCACAAACAGTTAAATGCAACCTGAACTTTTGACAGCTTTTAAAGTGGAAGAGCTTGTCCTCTCAGACTTATTTCACTTTGTTATTAAAACTGCCAAAATTTGGTTACAGTTGATTTTTCCTATTTTTTAAACTTTGAAACATAAGGGAGAGCTTGCCCATCAGCTTGTTCACCATGTGCACATGTTGCTGCTGTGATTCTGGAGTCAGAGGGAGCTCATATATGTCATAAAGTTGTCAAGGTTATCATGGCTTCTTTAGTTTAATTGAACAAACTGATGAGGAGGCTAATAGAGAAAATACAGAAGATCCATTCTTCAACATTGACCTTTAATAATCCAAGTCATCCTGTTTACATATTAATCAAGATAAATATGATCATGGGTACATTACTGCATTGCTAAAAATAAATTTGTTTACATTTATGAGTCAGTCAGGTCACAGCTGACTTTACAATACTTCATCAGAATCCTTATTGTGAGACCAGACCTTGACAAAAATCTCCTATTTTTCCTTTGAAAAAATCTCATCATTCAATGTTAAAGTATCCTCATCTGCAGCCTAATCCATTCCTCTCCAACAAATTAACACATCCCGAGCTTTACAGTTACGCAATTAACACAATACAAATGCTTCCTCTTTTCATGTCAAAAGCAGATTGAACTTCGCTTCTCCCAGTGCTTATAACAAAGTTCTTAAGCAGCCTGAAGTCAAAGTGGCCCATGTTCTTTCTCCCTAAGTGTCACCTTGTGAACAGCAGTAAATATTTATGAGCCTGCCTCCTGGCCCACATCGCATTGCGTGTGCATCCCTTTGACGCTGTGAAAAACCCACCAGTTCTCACAGTGGCAATCAGAGAAGATCCTTGTATCTGCTGCTGCAGCTTTCATTTTTCGGTCCTACTTTTCCACATCAAATGCTTAGTGATGTCTTTAACATCATTTAATGCTCTTGTCAGCCAGAAACAAGGGAAATGATTGGTGTGTCACCAGCCAACATCTTCTGTATCTCCAGAAAACATCTCGCAGTTCCCTACTAATCGTGGAGCTCAGTCTGGAAACTGTTTCATTTTCTGTAACATCTTCAATTTGCAGGACCTGTCTGCTGTTTCTAGGGAGGGTCATGAGGTTGTTAGACAGATGTGGCATTTGTGGCAGCAGTAAACGGAGAGCACAAGAGATTTGTGGGTGATGAAAATAGTTTCGTTTGTTGTGCCAGGCTATTATGATGCTGAGGCAAACTCAGGTTCCTCAGCCAAATATTCCTTTGGCTCCTCAGAGAAACACCAACCTTTGCTTGGAATATTAGATTGAACAGAGGTCTGTTTCAGCGTGTTCCCACCAAAAATTCTGGAAGGAAGCCTATTTCAAGTTATATTTTAAAATGTACTGAGTGGATTGCAACCACATCTATTTTAGCTTAATCCTAAAATACTGTCTTTATGTACAGTGTATAGTACTAATGCATAGCAAGATAGCAACAGATTTCTAGTCTGTCGAGCTTTTAATGAGCTTTCTGTTTCTACTCTTTGAAGTACAATTAGGTAATGAGTGGGACTTTTCAGTAGTTTCATCCTTGTGGTGCTGAAGTTTTTAAAGGGTGTTGTGAGAAGCAGCCAGCAGGTATGTGCTGCAAGTCACTTCTCTGCTGCAGGAAAGCTCTGGTCCTGCAGAGGGAGGTTTATTCCTGACTTCACTGAGTGCAGGTTCAAAACCCACAGCTTTGGTATTGACAAATGGTTTATTGCTGATGCATGGAAGAAACAAGAATTACCTCTAAATAACTTCCAACAAACAAGGTTGTGTATTTTGTCACAGAGCATTTTTTTAATTCTACAGCAGTACAAAGTACCCTCTGATATGGGCTATCCACGCTGGATAATTAACCTTGCATGCACGTGAGGAATCTGGGGGACACCTGTTCTTTCTGAGAGTCCTCGTTAGTGAAGCATTTGAGTTCAAGGTGGTGAATGCTCATCCGCTTTGAATAATTGTTGTACATAAATAATATTCATTACCAGACGTTCAAAATTTTTCATTAATGCATTTTACTTGGTACTTCCCTAGAGGGAGTGTAAAGCTGGCAGCTTCTTCCAGTTCTTCACAAATGTTTTGTTGTATTATATGTATTGACTCAAGTGAAAGGATTTAAAGAAATATTAGATAATTCCTAAATGTGGCACCTTTGTATGTACCTCAGTCCAGATAAGTGGTTCTAAAGCCATCTATATCTTTGCCATGCATTACAAATATAATTCAATATACCATAATAACATTTAATTGGTAATAACAGGGAAAACTGTAGTCTTCATTAAAGCAGCAAAGCTAATTCTGGTCTGATAAAGTGCACTGAGCATCCCTAAATAGGTTTTAATTAGCTGGCACCAAAGCTGCACCACCCTTAGGGAGGGTAAAATTAATGAAAACTAGCAGCAAATAGATCAATGCTACTGGATGTTATTGCCCTAGGTGAAGGTGATGAGAAAGAAAGGAGTTTCTTTTAAGGATCATTTAGAAAACAGTCTGTGTTAAAAGTCACTTTCAAACAGCAGTGCTAAAATAAATCTGTGCTCATATCAGTGAAGCAGTCTAATGTTGTGTGGACTGCAGATTCCATTTGTGTTTATACTACAAACACCTCGGGCTGACCACTCAGCGCTGCACCTCCGAGCACCGGTGCCTCTCGTGGCTCAGCTCCACCTCCCCTCTCGGGGCTGAAGGTGTGATCAGACCACTCCTGCCCCCCTGCACATGTTGGACACTGAGCCCCCAAAAAACCAGCCCCAAAAACGAGTGTGCTGATAACTGCTCCAAGCACAGCTCAACTTGGTGTTCGTAGTCGCTCTACCAAAAAGGAGCCTGCTGAGCTCTGCTGAGGAGATGTGTTCTGAGCTCCTAAAAATTCCTGTTAGGGGGTGGGAGATAATGTTCTGAAACCCAGCCAGTTTGGTAGACAGCTGACTTTCCAAACACACTCTTAACTCTGACAGCACCCATCCCATACCTAAACAATTCAGTTCAATTCAACTGTGGGTTTTATTCAGATTATTGGCTGCACACGCCTGTCTGCGGAAGGCAGGTTCCCTGAGCCACATTTGCAGTCAAATGGCTGTTTCTGAAAGACTTTTGTAAATATGATGGACAATTCTGGGGAAACTAAATTGCTTTTGTGCTTCTCTTCAGGTTGTTCTTCGTTTCCCCTGCTCATGCCAGATGGTGCTGGGTTGTGTTAGGTTGTGAGGAAGCTGTTTTATCATTCAAGGCAGAAAGAGGGATCATTCTGATCGCTGACTTCTGCATCAAGATTCAAAATTTGGGGGTGTGCTCAACCTGCTATTTTACTCAGTTCTGCTCACTAATTATTTATTACTTTGGTGATATACGAGATCTATATTTTATCTCTGTCATTTAGAGCTAGCAAATTATATTCATCTAAAGTTTGGATTGACACTGTTAGACAACGGCAGTCATCACAGTTTCACCTTAGCTAATATGTGGTTTTTCATGTGTCTGACTAATCTACATGAAGCTATAGTCTAGTAAAAATGTCAGTAAAATGAATAAATGAAATTACATTCTCTGAGGCTCAAGTAGCTGCAGCTTCTATTGTTTGGTGATATTCTCTGTGAATTGAGGTAGTAAAGCTGTCAGTGTCCAGAACATCAGAGTTTTATGCAGTGTTTCTGGTTGTGGCTTGAATGAAATGTTATGATAGAGATATTTTCACTTTTACACTTGCTTACTTATACATATTGGTTTCCCTATCAAAACTATTCAGAGGAAATATAAAATCTTGGCTACTGTTAGTTAAAATTTGCAGAAAGCAGTTTTTAATTGGGAAGTTGTGAACACTGACACTGAGCCTGGCTCAGAGTTAGATTTTGGCACTTGGGAAGTGTGTCCCATCAGTGCTTTGTATTAATGTGCTTTTTCAAAAAAAAAAAAAAAAAAAATTCTGGAAGATAAGTGAAAGAGTTAGGAATGTCGTTGTTTTTAAATGACAGAACTCTTGGAAGGAAATTATGAAAAAACTGATTCAGGCTGACAGAGGAAATGTATAATGCCTGTTGAAACATTTTTAAGAACAAAAATGAATTGTAATTTACATTTTGCTGTTGTCTTTATCATGATGATGTGATATCTACTGCT